TCGCCGAGCCCCGGGGGCCCGATCGCGCCCGAGGGTTGTGGCGCAGCTCGACGGGGGCTCGTTCGGGGGGGCTGGGGGGCGACACCCCAAGAAGGGATCGAGGGGCGGAGGGGAGGAGGAGGAGGAGGAGGAGGGAACTGGCCTGCCAGGGACGTCAGAAGAATGGCGGGGCTGGGACCGGGTCATAAAAATGGCTCCCGCTGCCGGCATCTCGCGAACAGAAGCACTGGACCGTCAAACATCGCGCAGGGGCCGTCAGAGAAGGCGGCGGCCAGCCCCCGAGTGGCAACAGACTCGAATCTGACGTTTCCCTGGCCTTTTCAGTTGGCCGCCCTGCCTCGCCCTCGCCCTCGCCCGTGCCCTCGCCCCCTACGGGTGTGAGGGGCAACGGCGCGGGGGGACTGGCCCAGGGGGTGGAATATCGACCCGGGATCGGCGATACATCGCCGATGCCTCGGCGAGAGGCCCCCGATGGCGTTTCCGCAGGGTCCTGGGCGGGGTGGGCTTTCCGGCCCCTGTCTGCGATCAGTGGGCGGAGGGGGGGGGGATGCGTTCCTCCTGTGAGCCTGCCCCCCCTCTCGTGGCGCCCGAGGACGGCAACCCCACGGCGGGCCGAAGAAGGGGCTTCTGAGGAGGAGGAGGAGGAGGAGGAGGAGGAGGAGGAGGAGGAGGAGGAGGAGGAGAGGAGGAGGAGGGAGGGGAGGAGGAGGAGGGAGGCCACCACTCGGCAGGCGGCGCCCCCTCGGAGCTCGCGCTCACGCGCGCGCGCGCGCCCGGGGTCCTCGCCACACGGCTGGCTGCCCCAGGGCGCACCGAAGAAGGGGCTGCCGCCGAAGCCGCTGTAGGCACCGTACCTTCAGGGGCAACTCCCAGGAGGTCTTTGTGGAGCGGCTAGCAAAGCTGCTGAAGCCGACCGCGGGGCAACGGAGCCAGATGAAGCCCAGCACGCTGGGTTCAACAGGGCCTCCTCCTCCTCCTCCTCCTCCTCCTCCTCCTCCTCCTCCTCCTCCTCCTCCGCCTCCTCCTGCCCCCTCCTCCCACTAACTTCGCGCATCGCGCCCCGCGGTGCGCGACGCGGTGCGCGACGCGCGGGTTTCTCTTCGCGACCTCGCGCCCTCGCGCCAGCCCTTCGGGGCAGGGCGGCCGCGCTGGCCCAGCACGCGGCGCGCCAAGCGCGGTCATCTTCACGCCCCTCTGGGTGACCTAGGGGGTATACCGGCTATGGCGGCTGTATAGGCTATAGGCCGGAACAGGACGGTTTTCGACTGGGACGATGCCGGCGCCGATGCTGAATCTGAGCTCCCCAGAGTTGCAGACCCGAGCGCACCCATCGTACTGCTGCTGCCAGCCCCAGCCACTGCTCGCGGCCGCTGCTGCGGCCATCACGGCAGGGTCCCACGGGCTCCCGGCCCCGAAGAGGCCGCCGCCGGGCGACGTCGCGAAACACCCCGCAGGGTCACTGGCGCCGCCCCACTGCTGCGGGCTCGCGCAGCCGGCCCCCCAGGTGGCCGCGGCCCCGGGCACGGCGCCGAGCGCGCCGGCGACGGAGCCGCAGGCAGGGGAATGCAGCCCGCACGTGTCCCTGAACGGGCTGCCGGCCCCACGGCTCCCAGCGCCTCCCGGGCTGCCCTTGGTGGCTGCGCGCAGGAAGTGGCCCTGGGCAGGAGCGACCTCCGGTGCGCGGCTTGCCGATCGTGGCGGGCGGTGCCACTGCAGCGGCCTGTATCGGGCTCGGCCCCCGCCGCGCCCCCCACAAGGCCGCACACGAAAGGTCACTCCGGCGAAGGGCCACTCGCACGCGCAGCGGGCCTTGGGGCCGCGACGCTTGGCGCCCCGGCCGAGCGCCTCCTCCAGCGAGGAGCGCATCTGCTGGCTGAGCCTGGGCCCCTCAACCTACTCCTTCTCTCCCTCCCCCTCTTCCTCCTCCTCCTCCTCCTCCTCCTCCTCCTCCTCCTCCTCCTCCTCGTCTCCCCCTTCTTCTCCTTCCACCCTCCTCCTCCTTCTCCACCTTATCCTCCTACTCCTGCTCCTTCTGATTCTTCTTAGATTCGAATGATACCGGAGAAAAACCTGATCCTCCTACTCCTGCTCTTCTGATTCTCTTCGAAGATTAGATTCTTGTTAGGGCTATAGGGCTATAGGGCTATTGGGCTATAGGGCTATACGGTTATCGGGCTATAGGGCTATCGGACTATAGGGCTATAGGACTGTGACCTATAGGGTCATAGGGCTATAGGGCTATGGGACTATAGAGCTATATGGGCTATGGGGCTATAGGGATATAGGGATATAAGGCTATTAGGGCTATAGGGATAGAAGGCTATAAGGCTACAGGGCTATAGGGCTATACGGCGATAGGGCTATAGGGCTACTGGGCTATTGGGCTATTGGGCACCCCCGGGCACCCGGGCCCCCCCGGGCACCCGGGCACCCCGGGGCACCCCCGGGCACCCGGGCACCCCCGGGCACCCCTGGACACCCGGGCACCCGGGCACCCGGG